TCCAGTCGATTCGAGTCTGCTCCAACACGCTGGAATTCCAGTGCGTCGGAGCAGCTTCCCTGCTTGTGTATAGGCACCCTAAGTATGTAAGTACCCAACTAGTTTTGGCTCTCAAGCTCTCTTTGCCTGTACCCATAAAAAGATGATAGGAAAGCATATATATAGTGGGTGTTTCTGCAAACAGCCAGGGCATTTACTTGACTAATCACATAAGCTTTGTGTCTGCCCTGAGCCATTGGCCACCTTTTTTGAAAACTCATGGTGATCAGGAGAGTTTCTAGATGATTGGAAATGGGTAAACAATAGTACCCTTATTTAAGAAAGGGAAGAAGGAGGATCTAGGGAACTACAGACCAGTCAGCCTCACCTCAATTCCCAGAAAAATCATGGACCAGATCCTCAAGGAATCCATTTCTAAACACTCGGAGAAGAAAAAAGTGATTAGGAACAGTCAGCATGAACTCACCAGGGGCAAATCATGCCAGACCAACCTGATTGCCTTCTAGGATGAGGTGACTAGCTCTGTGGATGCAAGGTGGATGTGGTGTAGATAGATTTTTAGCAAGGCTTTTGATACGGTCTCCCACAAAATTCTCGCAGGAAAGCTAAGGAAGTATGGGCTGGATGAATGGACTGTAAGGTGGACAGAAAACTGCCTGGAGCATCAGGCTCAGAAAGTAGTAATCAATGGCTAGATACCTATTTGGCAGCCGGTATCAAGTGGAGTGCCCCAGGGGTCGGTCCTGGGCCCAGTTTTGTTCACTATCTTCATCAGTGACTTGAAGGATGACAGAGTGCACCCTTAGCAAGTTTGCAGATGACACCAAGGTGGGGGGGAAGTAGTAGAGGGTAGGGCTAGACTTCAGAGTGACCTAGATGAATTGGAAGATTGGGCCAAAAAGAATCTCATGAGGTTCAACAAGGACAACTGCAAAGTCCTGCACGTAGGATGGAACAATCCCATGCACTTGTACAGGTCTGGGGCTGACTGCCTGGGCAGCACCTCTGCAGAAAAGGACCTGAAGGTGACAATGGACAATAAGCTGAATAGGAACCAGCAGTGTGCCTTTGTTGCAAAGAAGGCTAACAGCATACTGGGCTGTACTTGTAGGTGTGTTGCCAGTAGGTCAAGGGAAGTGATTATTTTCCTCTATTCAGCACTGGTGAGGCCACATCTGGAGTACTGTGCTCTGTTTCTCTCCCCCCCACTACAGAAAGGATGTGGACAAATTGGACAGCAGAGGGCAACAAAAATGGTGAGGGGGCTGGGGCACATGAGGACAGGCTGAGGCAACTGGGCTTATTTAGTCTAGAGAAGACTGTGGGAGGACTTATAGCAGCCTTCAACTACCTGAAGTGAGGCTCAAAAGAAGATGAAGCTGAACTGTTCTCAGTGGTAGCAGAAGACAGAACAAGGAGCAACAGTTTTAAATTGCAGCAAGGGAAGTTTAGGTTAGATATTAGGAAGAATATTCTCACTAGGAGGTAGTAAAACACTGGAACGGGTTACTCAGGGAGGTGGTAGAAGCTCCATCCTTGGAGGTTTTCAAAACCTGGCTAGACAAAGCTTTGACTGCGATGTTAATGTTTATACGTGGGTTAGGGCTTCCTAACATGATCCATCTTGTTAAAGGTGCAATAGACTAAGTGACATAGTTGCAAAAAAGGAATTTTAATAGATACTGTTAACTTTTTCTTCAACAGACAAACATGGGTAAACAACCCAGAAAAATGTCTGTTAGAAACACAAGCCATTCTCTGACATCCTAACATGTCATTAGCACATAGTGATATTCATCTACGTGCAGAATATATACACCACTTAAGTCCCATATACGTTCTTCTAAAAAGGACAATTTTGGCACAGTCCCACATTTACAGAAAAGAATTCTGAAAAACCCAGCAGCGTATACAAGATGAAGCTGGGTGTATATTTTCCAGAAGTCTTTGTGAAATGGTTATTCCCTTTTCTAATTCCCAAAGCTTTTATCTTCAAACATTAAAAAAGACAATAATTTTAATTTAACTGAAATATTACAGTGATATTACTCTCCCCTTTGATAGGTTAGTTCTCTAAAAACAGTGATAATGGTACTGTTATGCTACATTCTGCCTACATTCGTCTTGTATACCACTGTCTTGCCATTGGCACAATAAAACTAATCTCTAAAAAATGTTAGTGTGAATAGATTGACTTTGACCTTCTGAGTATCTTGTCAACAAAATAAAAATGATAAATGTACTTCATAGTGTCACTGGTGAAATATTAAAGCCAGGTTATAATCTGAAAAGTGACATTTGAGAAATGACATTGTGGGGATGAATCCTTATTTTCTCAGTGACTCCATATACAATATTTTCAGTTTACAAAGCAAAAGATGATTTTGCCAATAGTCAGTCCTGCATGTAAAAGATCTGGAATAAAAATCCTGCTATGTTCTGTCTGCCTCTTACATCAGCATGGATAATTAAAGATTACTCCAGTGGAAAAAAATGATAGTTCTGATGATGATGCCAGAAGCAGGATATCCATAGCTATGCTTTTTCTAGGGTGATAATATAGTAAAATTGGACTTTTTTTTTTATATATTCCAGGGGTGTCAACTCATCTGACCTTGATGAGTGTTGCTGTGCCAGTCTGCAGGCCAGACAAAATGACCCCCCACTCCCATACAGCATCCCCACATACACAATAATTTCATTTCACTTCTGCCTGTCCCAACTCCACTGTCCCTGCAGGTTCATTCCCTGGGTGCTTTTTACCCAGTTTCTAAGGCACAGGCTGCTATCCCCAGGCAGGGCACTGAAGAGGGTGAGGAGCAAAACATAGCAGGGTGCTGCATTGCCCCCAAAATACTTGTACCCCCAGCATACTTCAGAGCCAGAGCCCAGCAGAGTGAATGCTGAGCTTGGGAGCTGCCACCGCAACTTAGCTGGGAGCACGGATGTGCAACAAACATCCAGGTGAGTCCCCACCTCATTCCCTCCTTCCTACATACACATGCACTGCTCCCACCACACGTGCTGAGGCCACAAAGCCATGCGCAGGGTCTCAGCTGCAGATGCCTGCCCTAAACCGCAGTCCTAGTCCACACACCTTCCCTGGCTTTCTGCAGCACAGGGTCTTACTCTCTCTGTCACCCAGCCTGCAGCAGTGCCCACCCTGGCCTCCAGGCCCCAGCCAGTGCTGGGACAGCCCCATGGCCTGGGGAAGCCCTGGGAGGATCCAGGCAAGTGCCAGGGAGGGGTTGGATGCAACTGGGCTCTCCACCGATCTGCTCCCCATTCCCTCCAGGCAGTGCTGGAAAAATCCACTCCAAGGTGGGTTGCAGGGCTGACATGTGCTTCAGGGCTCATGTGGGGTTGGTCCCAGGATCTTCATGCAGCCCATGCTCCAGACTCCCTGTGCTCCATGTAGCACATGCCCTGTGCTAGCCCTGGGGCCATCTGTTCAATAAGCCCTGGAGCCAGCACAGGGGGTGCACTGGTCACAGTGCATGGGCTGGATGCAGTACTCCATGCAGCACAAGAGGTCTGGGACACGGGCTTTATGTGCCACCCCATGCTGGCTCCCTGTGCTGTGTGCAGCATACATGGTACTGGATCCAGTCCATGTGCTAGGTGGGGTCTGATGCAAGAGGTTGGTCCAGTGACCAACTGTCTGGATCATACAGCTCCATGGGCCACATCTGGCCCATGGGCGGTGTAGTTGACACCACTGGTATACTCTGTAACTAAAACAGAACATGAGCTGAGTAAGGAGATGCCATCTGCATGATCAGTTTCTTATTACAAGCACATTTTAATATCACCGTTAGAAGACTTCAAGTTCTTAGTGATAAAGTTCAGAATACTCTAATGAATCTGGAGAACTATTCGGTAATGAAGGGTTAGTCAAATTAACCTTCCATGTTGACAACACTCAAGTTTCGAAACATCAATATCTGTACATTAAGAACCTCCAAGAGCAGGAGGGTTGGGCAAGAATTGTGTCTGGAACTCTGTAACAGTGCTAGTAAGTCACTTTCCATTGCTTACAATGAAATAGAACTGGGCAAAGTTTTTCATCAAAACCTTTCTTTTTGGGAAAAAGGCAGATCTACTGACATCAAAATCCATGTACATTTTGTTGGATAGTTCTTGCTGGAAAAAGAAAGAGCAAAACAGTTCTGAAGAGGGTTTAGTATTTATATCCAAAATGAAGCGTTTTGATTATTTTATGGGTATTGGTTGTAGCTGTGTTGGTCTAAGGACATAGGCAGACAAGGTTCTTTGGGTAAATCCACTATCTTTTATTAGACCAACTAAAATAGTTGGAAAAATTCTTCTTTGCAAGCTTTTGGGTACAAACACCCTTCTTCAGGTTGAGGAAGCATCTGCGGTTGTTCTGTGCTCTTTCTGGATGGGATAATAGAATAGAAGTCAGAGTCCAGTATGCAAGAATGTCAGTTAGTGATTATTTTATCAAACTCAGTGGAGATTGCCCAGGTTTGAGTCAGGAGAAGAACATAAACCTGAAATTAAGTCAACCAATTACAAACACCTGTTAGAAAGATCTATACTTTGACCAAGAAAGTGAGAAATTATGACAGCATGACTTCTAGCATTTTTCATATAGAAAAAAATGTTACCTTAGTTTTCATCCTAAATATAACTAGATTTTTTGATGGGAAGGGAGTGTGCTGCTTTTAATTGTTTTCATTTTTTCATATGTTATTTTTCCTTAATTTAAATAAATTGTTTATAGCTTAGAATGAAAACTCTTGCCAAGTTCAGAAACAGTTTTCTATATTGTAAAGACAGGGCATCAAAATATGTGATTAAAATATACAGAAGTACCTAAATGGAAAGTTGTGTTATAAAAAAATCTCCCCATTTGAAAGTTTCTTTCAAAACAGTCTCTTCCATTTTGAAGTTTGGGGAGGGAAGATTCTTCATTAGTTTTCAGTATTGACATAACACATGGATGTTTTGTAATCTATCTTATTGACTTATTTTAGCTCCTGAATGCTCTCCAGATGGACACCAGATCCTCCACAATCCCTATCGAAGCACTGATTTTGATTCACTGGAATTACAGCAAACAGCAATCCAAGACCTGGTTTGTGACCACTCATTGCCCCAAGGATGGTATCGTTTTATGATCAACAACAAACCTGCAGAAATGCCAACAAAATGTATAGAAGTTAGTAAAGATTAAAAACAAAAACTTATGTACTTTAATAAACCCAAAATATGAATTCTCCTTTCACTTACTTCCATTCACCCACAGAAACTTCAATGGCAGATAACAAATTAAGTGGTCGGATGCAACTCTGAGGAGGATATTGCTCACGTGTTCCTTATTATTTGCATCATTTGTAATATACATGTAGAAGCACAAGGCAAGATATTTTTGTAATGCCAGGAAAGTATTAGTAGCACTGTACAAAGCACTGATAAGGACACATTTAGAATATTTTGTACAGTTCTGGTTACATATGTTAAAATAACATTAAGTTAAACTGGAGCAGGTTTACTCCAGGTTTACCAGGATGGTTTAACAGGATGATCACTGGAACTGAGAACTATAAGGAGCTTTGTGGCTGTGGCAGGACAGAGGGATGATTGATATTTCAGATCTTTTCAGCAAATTGCTGGTTGCAGACACGGAAGAAAAAGGAACCCAAAAAGCTCCTTCCAGTTTGTGTAAAACCAGTGCAAGGGACAGAAATTAAACCAAATGACAGAGATAAAATAAAAAAGTAAATGCCTGTAGTAGGAGGAAGTGGAGCAGAAGAAGAAGTAGTAGTAAAAGTAGTAGTTGCCATGATAAAAATGATGATGATGATAATAATAATATGGACTACTGTACATGCAGACACATAAATGTCCTAGTTGCCTCATAGCCAAACTAAATAAATTTGGGTCCCAGAATGTTATTCTGTAGTAAAGAAGAAAGAAATAGTTACCTATTTTCTGTGTGATCTATATATGTACAACAATACTGGTAAAACTGGTAACATTTATAGTCGAATTCATCCCACAGATAAATAGGTGTTGTATCATACTAAGTCCATGGCATGAAGTTAGATTACTTTCAGAAATGTTATCACACAGAATGGTTTATTTGGTAAATAGATTAATCTTTTAAACATTTTAAGAATGTCAAATTCAATATAAAATACCACATATTTTAATATTTTTATTATATGCCAACCTAGCTAGAGAACTTATTTGCAATTAACAAACAGTGTTATATAAAAGTAAATTTGTGAACTGTGGTTAAACAGCATGAAGAAAACTTATTTCCTAACCTAACTTAGGAAAGGTATATTTCCTCAAGTTATACGTACTGTGTGACTCTACTTAGCACTAATGCCACTCATTATTAATAATTTTCATTCATTTGCTCTCAGTCTAGCACAGAGGAAATGGTTCAAAAGTCTTATAAGTCTATTTATTCAGCTTGCTCTGTACATGTGCATTCCTTCTATAAAATTAATTATTCTGTCATTACTCTTCAGCAATTTCCACTATTCAATAGTACTCATCTGTGTGATACATCTTTCTGACATTACATTCTTTGTTTCTTTAAATCTCCTCTATGGAGCCCTTTATTTAAGTTTGCAGGGTTGTATTCATTAGTTTAGTTTCTTATCTTGTAACATAATTCTTACCATTGGTTTCTTCATTCTTCTCTGAATGGCAGCAAATCTCTGCTTCACCGTGCTGATGAAGGATTACACCTGTTATGTGTCACCAGTGGAAGAATGTGCTACTTTTACATCTTCACCTTTTAAATCCTCCTTTTCATTCTCTTTGCCACTTAATTAAATCACTGTTTAATTTGGTTTTCCATTTAATGTGAGCAAAACCTCTGGAACAAAATAATTTGAATTAATAACAGCACAGCTTCCACTCTTTAATAAGCAGTTATTATTGGATATTTCAATCATTGGCTAGGGTGAGATGATTTTAATTAAAGAAGGCAAGGACAAATTCTGATAGAAAGGAAAGGAGTCCAAATAAAACCAATGTTATAGCAAAAGATTGCTAAAGAGAGCTGAAAAATGTTTTATTCAGCCGTTATGAGCACAATCATGTACTTTGTAAGCTATGAGATGCACCATGGTGATATCAGATGGATACAATAAACTGCTTATCGATGGATTAGATTAACTTAATTCAAAGCAACTGTAGGCATGCATTTAGGGTTTACCTCATGCAGTTCAATTGAGATCAAATGGGATTTAAACTGCAACAAAGGGAAACAGATCCTTACTCAACCAAGCACTTAGGCGTGTGGGATAATGGTATACCCTGGGAAATCTGGCCACCTCATTTAAGTGTGTAATCGGAGGCTGAATTCTTGAAAAACCAGCCATTTATTTCAGAGCTGTTGATTGTAAAGCTATTTTTAAAAAATCTTACTCTGAATTCTTTTATAGGCAGCTCTGTAAAGTAATATAGGTGTAGTCACCTCTGGATATGGGTCTATACTATGTGGAACATCTTAGTCAGGTGATGACAGAAACAGATGACTCGGGCATCTTTAGGGGGAAGAGAAGCTCTCCAAGAGCAGGGGAGAAAGCTGCAGATTTCAACCCGTACACCAACTACCGCCATGTTTCACTGCGGTCCTGAAAATCTAAAAAGTTAACAGAATATCTTCAAAGACTGTCCCTCGCTCATGAATGAGACAAAGAAACACAGAAAAATTGAAAAAAATGAGAATGAGAATTCCATCTTGCAGAGGGCTTATAATGTGGAATATATCTCTAGGTTCAGCAACCTTGAAATCCAGATACTTCCCACAAACTTATTCCTCCAGCAGCAATATATTTTTTGAATGAAACAGCCTTCGAGTTTGGGTATTGCCACTTGAATTTCTCCAGGAAATTAAGTGTGACACTGACCTTCTTCCTTCTGTGTTTCCCTTTCCCTTCCCTCCGTGTTTTCACAGAAGGCATACCAATTACAGACTCCCCTGTGTGTACTCTAGGTATTAACTTGGGCACAATGCTGAGTTGCTTCCCAATAGCAAACTAAAGGAAGAAGACAACACAAACGTGCAAACATCTGTGTCCCACAGTGTCAAGTCTGCAGCAAATAGCTCAAAAGCTATAGTTAGTTCTTCAAGAACTGCCTAATTGACTTCCAAAGGAAAAACTGCAGAGGAAGAGAGTGCAGAGAGATATGCTACACCCCCAAAATAATTCAGCAGTCTTACTAGAAAAAATTAAAAATTCCATGAGCCCTTGTCACAGCTAATAATGACAAAAGGGTCCTCAGAGAATGAATTAAAGTGGCATCATCATTAAACCAACAGGGGGGAAAAGGGTAGATCTAATACTGATTGACAAAGATGGAAAAGCAAAAATAAAGAAACAGGCATCTTAATTAAATGACTAATATAATCAGGCCACAAGAAAGGAAGAAATACAAAATCAAAGAGCACTGGCTGCTAACACTGTGGAAGATTCTCAGGAAGGACATAAGTTATGGACAGTGTGAAAAAGAACCTGTGAATTGTAGAACATTTTGCGAATAATGTGTGATGAAAACCTGAGGAAAACAATATGAGATGAGAATCCTCTAGCAAAGGCTGCAGTATAAACACAATGGGCACTGAAGCATATCATATGGAGAGCCAGAGCTTGCTAGAGTTATAGCTCCTGCTCCACCTCTCCTTGGCTAGGGACAGACATTCAAAAAGTCTGAGCCTGAATTGATGCAATCTTTGCAAGTTAGTCTAACGTGCAAAGCTTGAACCGATTTGTAGGTGGATAGACATTTTGTTTCGTTCCAGAAATCCAGGCACATGCCTGCAGTGGCTCAGATTAGAAGCTGGAGGGCACTACAGCAGCCCTCCCTTTAGTCAGTACTGAGCTGGCGGGGCATAGCCAGGCCCCAGCAGAATGCTCCGACTAGCCCAGCAAGGGATTGATACCAGTTTTTATCATGCCTAACTCAGTGTTTACCACCCAGCCCAACCCAGAGAGCATGCCAGGATGCTGGGGGTGTGTGGTTTAATTTAAACCAGCAAGAGGTCTGGGATAGACATTGCATAAACCAGTTTGACCCAAATCTTTTAAGTCTTATACTATATTCAACTAGGTTTATCTCATACCAATTTCAGCCATTTTCAAACTGGTTTATGTGCACTGAACATCTGTTCTGTTACAGGTTTAAATCAGTTTCTGATCACTTAAACTGGTTTATGTGTAATGTCTGTCCCCAGCCCTCATGTACATATGGAACCTTACAAAAAAATCTGAATTAAAAACTTTAACAATGACTCATTCCTGAGTAAAGTCTCACAATAGTTGTTTCCTGCTTCACAAAATAATTCCTAAATGTTATACCCAGGCACTAGTCACTGGTGAATCAAATAAGACTAAATTGGGGTTGAGGAGTGTCAAACTAGGAAAGCTTTGAACTCAGATATGAAACCTTACCTCTCTAATACATATGTGAAATATATACTATATTTTTTAAGATTCATTTTGTGTCTCATGCTCTACTGATTAACCTCATAAAGCACAGTTTCATCAAAACCAAAACAGACTAGTTGAGTTGCACTTTTAAAATGTATTTATTTGTCTTGTCAATCTAAATCCTCCTTGAATTACAATTTTTTATATAAACTTTAAAAATAAGAACTTCTTTGGAAGTACATCTAATTAATGTATTATTTCCTTTCTCTCTTTCTTACACATATGAACACAGCATCATCATAATGGCAAGTGTGAAGCAATGGTTCCCAGGTATATACACAAATCAGATTTTTAGCCTGCATGTATAAAGGAAACACTTAAAAGAAACATAGCAGCCACAGGTTTCACTGCTAATACTGGTATCCTTTTGCATTAAACTAATTTCTGTAAAGTTTATACTGCAGACTGAAATAGAAAATTGTATTCACTTTAAATTATTTAGGTGGGAACCAACTAAAACAAAGATGGGGGGTGGTTTGTAGATAACAGAATGGTGGTGCCAAAGAAGATGGAGCTAGACTGTTCTCAGTGGTGGCAGATGACAGAACAAGGAGCAACAGTCTTAAATTACACCAAGAGAAGTTTAGGTTAGATATTAGAAAAAACATTTTCACTAGATGGGTACTAAAGCATTGGAACAAGTTATCCAGACAGGTTGTGGAGGTTTTTAAGACCTGGCTAGACAAAGGATTGATGATTCAAAAAT